GTTATCATCAGATAGGCTCAAAAAGCTCTATAGTGAGCATGTCAATGAAATTAATCTTTTATTCTGGGAGTTGCTTCCAGAGGAAGACATTATCTATGATGCCCCAAAAAACTCAGGGCATGTCACATCCATCTGTGAATGCCAAAAGCCAGGCTTTTCTCTACCCATAGATTTATCTGGAAGGTGAAGAGAGGCAGGAGCACCCCCAACACCTCTTCCTTGAGCACCTCTTACTCTGTTATGCTCTCTAGGTCATCTGACCATACTCACAGTGCAGAGCTCCACCGACCTCTTCCCCTAGACCTCAGTGCAGATAGCCCTGGCTCTGTTGCCCAGATCCCAACACTGGAATTAGCCTACGAGATCAGAGGAAGCATCCTGGCTTCCCACAAACCTATGCTGAAGAGCATGCCTCCTGTACATGACTCTAGGCGTATGCTAGCTAAAGGCCCCTCACCCTATGGACTGACCCCTCTGTTCCCTGGCTAGCCTGCTCCACATGAGAAGCTTGGGAGGGGGTGGAATGGAGGAAGGCTGCCAGCTACAGCCTTCCACGCTAGGTTGAGCAGAAAGGCAATCAAGTTTCCTAAGCACTGTAACAGATGACAAGGTGTATATTTATACCCTATACCCACATACTTCGGGTGAATTGTGCAACATGAGATTTGTCATCACGCATCAGATCACTGTGTATCTAATCCAATACCGTGGCTCCGACAATGTTGGGAGAGCTGAGCTGCCTGCAGTGATGCACCTCACCAACTGTGCAATGCAGGAACAGAGGGTCTGGGATTAAAATTCCTCCCCAGTTCCTCCAGCAATCAACTGGTACCCTGACTGTTCTTGCTATCTGATCAGGCAGACCTGCAACTGTAAATAATCACAAGATTAGGGAGCCTTCCAAAAACAACTGGTTCAACTGCAGCATACATTTCTAGGCTGCCCTCTGGGCTGGATATATTTCAAGTGGGATAATATTTAATGCTGATTTCACTTTACTTTCCTCTGTGGAATGATTCCTGGGCTAAGTGCACCCTGGATGCCAGCAGTGGAGAGTTACTCCAGTGCTGGAAGTGACCCATAATCTTTTACACCACCCCTAGCATCATCTTTTATGCCTCCCATGATCTCCCCACTCCTTGCATTCTTGGTTTTTTGTTGGTGGTGGTGGTTTGTTTCTTCTCTGTTGTCTTTGCTGCAAGGAAATCAAGCCATTCTCCAGCTCTGGGTGTGCTGGCAGGCAGCTGCATTCTGTAATGGTGCTGCTGCCTCTGTGTTTGCAGTGCTGTCATCACCCACTTGATCAGCTGGGGAGTCAGTTGCTTTGCTTGGCCGGTTTTGGCTTCTGCCATTCAAAGAGCAGGGCTGTCCCCTGAGCTGCCTCCAGCTGCTTTTGCAACACTTCCATGAACATATAGAGATGATTTCAAACCCAGTAATGAGGGCAGTTATTGGACTGCTTCTTCCCAGACTGCATAGCTTGGATCTCCAGTCAGAGCAAGAGTGTTTGTTGTTCTTGCCCCCTTGGCTGTCCTTCAATTTTAGTACTTCTTGTGCTAAAAATCGTGCAGGGATTGTGGTCAAATGCCCTGCAGTATGTTGTTTGTCTGTGGAAAATCCCTTCCTCCTTTCACTGGGACCTGCAGAAAAAGAAACAGAGAGGGGGAATCCTTCATTTGCTCTGCAGTGGAGTCTCAGGCATGGGAATTGTTTTGTTTCTCTGCTTCTGCTCTTCCAAAGGTTTCTCTTCCTAGTGCAAGACCTCTACTGGGAAGTAATAGAGTCTGTTTTGGTCCTGGCCCATGTGAAGCTCGGTCCCTGAAATCCCACTAATGGTTCTTGCAGGAGTGCCGTGATTCTGCGTCTCACAGTCAGTGTGGGACTGGGTCAGTGTCATTTCAGGCTGTGTTGAAGACGGTTTTCGAGAAAACACCCGTCATATGACACAACAAATAGTACCATTTGCTCCTGTCCTTTTTTGCTTCCGTCTGTTTTGTGTTTGATTAATCTTTTAAAAATCATCTGCTTTTCTGTTTGGTATGTTCTCTCTTGCCAGTGCCCAGTGTAATTCCCTGTCTGCCAGCCCCTAATGTAACAGGACTCAGAAGATGGTGGTGGTTGCTACCAGGTGTGGAGCAAAGACTGCCTCATTTGGAACAGGTTATGCTTCAGGTGCTAGGTTGACTAGGTTTGCCAGCTGCCAGAGGACCCAGTGATTTTTCCCAGCTGTAGTTTAGAGTGCTGATCCTTTAAAACCCCAAGTGTTTTTTTCAGGCAAACCAAGCTGCCCAAAGTGTCCAGTAGCCTTCATATCCTTGACAAGCTGCCAATGACAACAGTTTGTGGTTGAGGCAAAGGTTGTTGGAGACCATTGTTCAAAAATTGAGACCATTGCCTGTGACCTGCCCTGGGCATCCCAACAAAGTTGGGATTGCTCTGTCATCCTGTAAGGTATCATATTGTCATGTGTGATCTGTGCTGTGCCAGAAACAGGGCATGGATACCAGCCTAGATGATCCTGCAAAGCTCCCTGGCTAGCATCCTCCAGTATTGCCACCTCATCCACTGGCTCATGTCTTATCTGCCAGCGTTAGCTTGTAGGTAGACCAGCCTTGTCCCCAGTGCCTGACTGGTCTTTGGTTACCCTACACTTCTAGGAGTACCTGAGGATGAGGCACAGCAGGACTCCTGGAACCTCCTGAAACCAAACAAGTGTCTACCCATCACACCCTGTGACCCTTCCCACCCCCTGCTGCGTATGAGGTCCTTCTCTGGTGAAAAGTCATCTCTCAGAGATTCATGTCACCATTCTGCCCTCAATTAGCATGTGTCTTAGGTCTCCCTAAGGTGTATTAATTGATAAAGAAAAATTTCCTACCTAGCTGATTCCCGCTAGGCCTTACCTTACCTCACAGCTCACAGAATTGTGCCCTAAGTTCGCTGAGATCTGCTTGTGTCCTGGGCTTTGGACTCTTTGCTCAAGCTCTAGAGCTGCTGAGATGTTTCACCAGAAAATTCTAAGGCAGCTTCAGCTATACCAACTCCCAAGGCCCAGGCAAACCCGTTAGTGATTTTGCTTTGGGACTCACTTGTGCTGAGGGTTGGTCTAAGACATAATAAATCCTGCAGCATCTTAGGCACCAGCTTCCACAGAGATGGGATTCTGCCAGAGTGAGAAAGTACATTTCCAGCTGTTATGGGTGTGAAGCAACACCTGGCTCTGGGACCGAGTGTTACCATTGCTCACACTGTCTGCTTGAGCTTGCAGAAAGCCTGAAACAAGAGCTCTGAGAGTTGTTTTGTTTCCTCCTCCTTTCCAGAACAGGAAATCTCATATACTGACAAGCAAGAGAACATGGTAGTTCTGCATCATCTTAAAGAGGTGAGCTTTGATTCAGTGAAAACAGCAAATGCTTCTATTAACGAATGTTTGAAACAGTAATGAAAACAAAAAAAAAAGGAAAGCTCTTTATAATAAAGGGAATCAGATTTTATTTTTATACCTTCAAAGTTAAAAATATGCATTTCAAAATATTTACAATGACTATATATGAAATAACCTTTGTTAATGAAACAGCAACATACAGTACTGGAATATATCCACCAAATTGATAAAGTCTACATAAGAAGAAAACGTAACAGAAAAAGAGAGAGAAAGAGAGAGAGGTAAATAGCATCCATGCACAATCTGCACCTGTATTTTTTTATACTCTGCCTTTTAGTTGTGGATGGAGTCACAGGAAGATTTAACCTCTTGTCCCTTACAAATGCCACTTGTGACTGAGATTCTTTGAACTGACAGAAATCTGTGGGTTGCAGCAGTACCACTGCCTTACTTTCCCTTGCCAGCCTTTCATATGGGGACCCTGCATTACAGAGTGGACTCAAATTCTCTCAGCAACCCTGGGAGGTAGGTACAGTTTTATGGAAGAATTTGGCAGATAGAGAAACACCAGGTTAAGTGACTGGCCTAAGGTTGCACAGCAAGGAGCAGAACTCACAAGCCCTGCCTCATCTCTCCTGATCTCTCATTAGGGAATATATTTCCTCTGTTAACCAGTATCATCTGCCTTTGAGATGAGCTGTGTCACAAGGTGGGGCACTCAATTAATACCATGTACTGGGTGACAATGTGGGAAAAACCCTCTGCCCATAGATAAGGACTTGTCTCAGAAAGGATCTGCAATGTTGCAGTGCTATTACTATGTTCTGGCATTGAACAAAAGATTTTAGACACATTCCCAGATGATTCCCTCCTTGCATGTGCATCATCGAGCAACTGCATCCTCTTTAAGCAGGAACCCCTGTTTATCTTTACTCCCACACTTTCTCTCTCTCTCCATCATCCACATCTGTATATTTGCCCTTCCTACCTGTATCTGATTCGACCAGGGGAATGTCAAATAGTAAACATAACAGCAAAAAATCCCTGTTGCCTTATTTCTGTAGATATTTTAATATGAATTTAATCTGATTTCTATTGGGTTACTTCTCAATTTAACATCTTTAACTTTCACATATGTGCATATATATATATATAAATGTAACAAAAGGCCCATCCCATTTGTTTCAATGGACTAAAAAAAGGGGTCAGAAGCCTCACTGCCCAACCCACTAGGCACACCAAAAGCTAAGTGAGAAGGGCTCTAGGAAGGGAAAAAGGTGTAGCCCTTGTTTTTGTGGTGCCCTTCAATCATCACTGCTGAGCTTGAAGCTTTGTGAAGGTATGACATGACTTTGCAGAAAAGGAGAAGAGCTGTCTGGGTCACTTGCAGATTCCTGGTGCAACAGCCCCAGAAGCGCTAGATCACTTGGAGCTGATGCTCCCTCTCTTTGGTGAAGGAGTTTCTGAGGATTCTAGCTTTGTTAGTGATTTTTCTGTGGTGGTGGCAGTGGTGATGATGGTGGCTGTTTCTGTCTATTGGCCCAACAGTTCTCTCAGCAGAGCGATTCTTCCCCATTCCCAGTAGCCAACCCTTTCCCCTGGACTCCCATCAGCCTTATTTTTTCCTAAGAACAAGGTAGAGGATGCCAATGACGAAACTGAAGCAAAAGCAGATCCAGGCCAATATGAAACAGTAGCCATGGTGAGAACCTGTGGACTCGGGAATCCTGCCTGTGAACCGAGCTGTATAAATGGAGACTCCAATCAGAATGCACATCCCTGTGGGAAGGAAGGGGGAAAAGAAAGAGTTGGAAAATACATGGAAACCAGCATTGCTGCAGGACTTCTGCAGTCCCCTGAGATTGTGATGCATGTCTTGTGCCATATGAGTTGCCCATTACGCTTATTTATGGAGGTTTTCTCTTGCAGACATGATGACAAAAGACACTTGGGGCTTGCTTAGTGGATGCCATGGGGAATAAACCTTTGTTAGGAGGAAATCAGCAATAAGATCTGCAGACAGTTTGGTGCCATGTGTTGAATCCCATGAGCAGTAGCTGTCTAACTGTTTATTCCCCTGCCCCCAGAATACTTGAATCTTTTTTGTTGTCTTTCAAAGGTATTTTGCAAAACCCACTGGAAATATTTTCATTATATACAATAAAAAACACCCAATACTCTTCAATTCCTCAGTGCTTTATCAAAAAAAAAAAAGGGCCACTGGAAACATGTAGCTGGCTGACAACCTCCCCTGACAGCCGTGTGTGGCAGACACGTGTGCTTGCAGAGGCGGTGGGACGCACGCAGAGCCATCGCAAGGCGCGCATACTTACAGCAAACCAGCATGATGGCTCCAGTCATGTAGAAACGTTTGCCTTTCTCCAGGGTGAACAGCTGGACGATGAACATGACGAGCGCGATGACGGAAAAGATGATGGAGAGGATCATAAAGGCTTGCACGGTTTTGAGGGACGCTATGAAGACACAGGGAATAGATTTGAGGTCAGGACCCAGCCTCAGCATTGTGCACCGAGGTCCCGCAGCCCATCTCCCCCGTGACAATGCAGCTGTAACATACCCTCATCGCGGCTGCTGACTGGCAGCTGCTCGCAGGTCTTGTTGCACAGCAGCCAGAGCCCCGATGAGACGGTTCCTAAGTTGGACGTACCCACCTTCCAAACCTGAAACAGGACGAAACAGTTGCGTCAAGGGGGGAGAGGGGCTTCCTTGCTCTCCTGGCCACTTGTCAGACTCACCGTAAGGGGAGCAAGAGCAGGCCAAGAGCCACCGGACAGAGCTGAAACAGCCCCGCGTGCCGGCAGCCCGCGAACGGCCGGAGCGGTGGGAGACGACACGCGCTCCCAAAGCCCGGAGGCGTTTGGTCCAGGCGGGACACTGGGAAGTCTGTTCCCACCACCGGGGGCAAATCGCTGGGGTCATCTCCCTGTCCCCGTGCGAGGTGGCAGGAGGGC